TTTTTTTTAGTATAATAGTATTACATGATTAGCCTCTTAATAACTTTTATTTAGAACAAAACATTACATTAATAAATCTATTATATACCAGAACAATTTATTGTGTGTGACCACATTGGAGAAATCCAACCACCATACCTTATAATTATAAAAACAAAACATAAAATAAACATTTATATATTTGTATATATATATATATATATATAATTACAATTCAGAACCTTTAAAAAAAAAAAATCATCTCAAGATTCGTAAAGACAAATTGTTTGCATGTGCTCACATGATATCAATCGGTCGGTTCCTCCATACCCGGCTTCATGGTCGTAAATATATTTTAGCAACGGACACCACAAATCATCTAATTAAAAATTAAGTTAGTTAATTAAGTTTTAATTATCGTTTAATTAAGTTTTAATTATCGTTTAATTAAGTTTTAATCAGAAAGTACATCGATAAACTAAAAAAATATATTGCCAACACTCAATTCTGAAATTAGTTTAATTTTTTTTTTTTTTTTTATAATAAGAACAGAAGTAGCATTGGAACTGAAATGGTCAACTATTTTATGATAATGTTATATTACATGCGTTGGATACTTTTGATGGTAATGATAAATTTATATATATATTTTAATTTTTGATTATTTGATAAATTGATTTATATTATTAAATTAAAAGTTACACATTAACAAAAAAAAAGTAAATTCTTGTTACAATAAAAAAGTTTATTAAAAATTAAACTACAAAAATTATTAATTAAAATTATAAATGTCAATAAACGTAACGAAAATAAACAAAATTAATAAATATTAAAAAATGGAATTTATTTTATTCATAAAGGTATTGAAAAAATATCATATTTGAAATATTTGTTATTAGTTTATTGCATTTTATTACAATTCAAATATTATTTATCATCATAATTTGGTTATTATTTATTGATATTAATTTTCAGCATGCACCATGCACTCTACTTTTTATAATTATAGAAAATAATAACAAATAATAATACATATAGTATAATCAAATTATAATAACTTATAAATATATAAACCATATACAATTTATTAGCACCTCCAACAATTACATATATAGTAACAAAACCTAAATTTGGATACACATACAATATTTTTTTTAAAAAAATAATTTTCTTATCCTATTCGAAATATAATAAAAATATATATATATATATATAAATCCACTATATATTAATTAATTCACTAGATCAGTACTTTTACTTTCCTAATTAAAAATTTAATCATACTTAAAAAAATGTCGTTAGTTGTTCTTGTAAAAACACCTTTTAGGTATAACCGTTATTATGTTAAAATGGAGAAAGAGCTAGAGATAGAAAGAGAGAGAGAAGCGCTTTCTTAAATTGACCCGGTAACTTCCCCGTGTACTCCATAAGTCATCGCCTTCTCTGATCTCCAAGCAAAAAGTCCAGTCAAGCCATTGCATCTTCCCCTTCCCCACCATTTTTTTTTTCTCTTCATTTCCTTAATTTCAAATCCCCACTGTAAGTTTTTTTAACTTTTCTCTCTCTCTCTCCTCTTCTTTAAAGTCATACGCTTTTGGCCTCTCAGCTCGGGTTGTCCTCGTTTTCCATTTCGGGTCGTAAGGTGTTTGTGGAAATTCCTCGGAGAACAAAAAGTTGGGGGCGAGAAATGGGGTTTTCGAAGGAAGAGAAGTCGAGGAAGGTGTTGAGAGGTGTTAAGACTGTGTTTTTCTTGATCACCATGTTGGTTTCTTTGCTGGTGTTGTCTGCTCCCGTGTTGCTTGTTATCGCCGATACGCTTCTTCCGTCGGCTTTGCTATCTGCTTCGTTGTGGCCGTCGTCTTTGTCCATGGCTACCGTGTCGGCTCATCTTAGTGATTATGATTTTCGATATTCTCTCATCGATATTCCTCTCATATCTATTATACGATCCGCTGTTATAATCTGTGAGTAAACCCAACTGAGTTGACACTCTTAATGTTCAAGGTTTGAAAGAAATGACTTTTTTGGTCTGGTTTTTTTTCATGATTGGATTGTGAGTTATGTTAAATCTTTCAATACTTTCCCAATAAAGAGAACACAAGACATTCCTACTTTGGAATTTTGCAGAATCATAATCTGTTTTCTGGAGTACCAAACGAAGGAAAAACACCCAGTGATCATCTTCTGATACGGATGACTAAACATCCTTTATATTGCTTTTCTTGTTGTTTTTTCATGATTGGGTTCTGGTTTCTTATTGTTTTTAATACCCTTTTTATATTAAATCATACCACAAGGTATTTTCAAGCATATACATGTTACTTAGTTCTATGCCATTTTTGGGATTTTTTTGATGATTTTGATGATGATGATGATGTGGGTTGTTGCAGGTGTTTACAGCTTATGTGATGGACCGAGACTATCCAGAGGGCCTTATTTGGGAATTACAATGATTTGCTCTGTCTCATCTCTGATTTTTGTTTCATTAAAAGCATCGTTTGTGTTTGGTGCTTCTTCAAGCCTGCAACGAGAAGGGTACAATAGAGTCATGGAGATAGCTTTGTTTATTTGCTCCTTGGCTTTGGCTATTGGGCATATATTTGTGGCATATAAGACAAGTTGCAGAGAGAGAAGGAAGCTCCTTGTTTACAAGATTGACATTGAAGCTGTAAGTCCTTCCCTCCTTCCCCTTCTCTCTCTCTCTCTCTCTCTCTCTCTCTCATAGTAATTAAATAATTTAATTAATAATTAGTCATCAACTTAAATTCTTGATTAGTACGTAGTGTTAATGACTAGGTAGAGTCTGTACTACCATTACATAACTATTCCCTGGGAAGAAGATCAAGTCTTAACAGTTACAGGGCTAGGAAACTTCCTGAGTCCAGCATCAGCACCTAACTATTCGATGGTTTGAGTTTTTTTTTTTCCCCGCCCCCCCCCCTTTTTAGTTCTCTAGAAGGTCAAAACAGCTACTCTGTTAATTATTGACTAATAACCTAAAGAATTTTCTTAGTTTTGCTTTGATTTTAAGATTATTTTACCTCACAATTTTTATGAATTTTTGATAGTGACCTCAGACCTGATCCATATCTGTAAGAGCTCAAAATCTTCCCAGTCTATTTTGAAGGCTCCAACCCAGATTTTGTATTTGTAGTCAGTGATACTCAGTTATCAATTTAATATAATTTTTCATCAAAACTCACCACTTCCCAATATAAACAATATAAAAGAGAATCAGATATACCCATGTGATCTTTACATTCATTCTTATTCACTTTCCTTATTTCCTTGTTTTCTTCTCACTTGATTCTTCTGTTCTTAAGTCAAAACAATAAAATTAACAAATAAAAACTGGTCCTTTATCAGAGAATCTATTATGGGGAACTGCTCTTGGTGAATAGGAGACTATTTTATACTTTTGACTATTTGGCATGTTCCCATTTCATTTTGGTACTGTTTCCCCCACACTTTGTCACATCAGAATAAATACAACTTTTTACATCTGTCTCATGTTCGTAATTTTAGTTTATTTATTCTCAAAGCATCCTATTTTCCGAGTAGAAACCGTGTCATATAGATAAGTAAGGCAGTCCCTATTTGTTCACATATATACGCCATCAATGGAGCTTTCATGGGCCAACTGCCAACCCATCTTTTATTCTTCTCCAAGGTTCTAGAGAATGAAATTTGTAATCAAAATCGCAAAATGCCAATTCAATTCCCACATATGCTCTTAGGTGGCTACCTATAATTGGTATTTCTCTAAATGTTATACTCATATCTCAGTATCTATTAGGTGAACCTAATATAAGTAATTATAGTACGATAATCTCAAGTGATCCCGTATTTATATATAAATTACACCGACTTGCTTTTAACCAAACTTTCATGGGTTTGTCTTGAAATCAAGTATTGAACTTTTACAAGATGAGGAAACTTGATATTAAAGTCAAGTGAAGTTCGCTCTTAGATATCTTACATGCTTAAGAATAAGATATGCATTGTGTTTATTTTAACAACTAAGAAGCTTAATCCATTTCTAAAAGTTAATTAGGACCCTTAATTAAGGGCAAAGAAGAAACACACATGACACAAATGTAATAGGACGAAGAAAGATTTCTTAATTTTATGTGATTATTATTCTTTATAAGAAAGATATATACATAAATATATATACACATACATTATATTTATATTATATTTTGGGTGCCATGTGCAGATTTCAGCTTGCAAGAATGGGTTTCCTAGGTATCATAAGATTCTCCACGAAGAAAGAGTGAAGTGAACATGCATCAAAACTAATCAAATCAAATGCTAACATGACTTTTCTTACAACTTGTTTTATTGGCCCATCACATCCCCGAGTTTCAGGTTTCAGGTAAAGTCAACTCAAATCAATCTTTACCTCTCTGCATAAATTGCAGCACAGACACATACATACACTTGTATATATATATATATATATGTATATGTTTATGTTGTAAATATGCACTAAATCAAACTCTCTCTTGCTTCTGTTGCAGATCCATTCCACAAGGAGGAAAATGAATTACCTGGAGATAGGATATATGGGTAGAGATTAGTAAGAAAAATAACCTTTAAGATACTATTATACACCAATACAGATACGGATTAATTGTACAGAAAGTGTCAGATCCTGTATTATTACAATCAGATGTATAAATGATTATAGAGGATAATGAATATGATTTCTTGATTCTTCAATAAATCATTTGTTCATGGTTCCATCTGTATAGTTTGTTTGTATATCAAGGAAGTGCAAGAAATCATCATGTTCAAGAAATTAGAAGGCACGTTGCCAAGTGTTTTAATCTTATTGTAATTCTAAATTTATAGTGGAAATTTTTTAGTAAAACTTCTTTGCCCTCTCATCTTAAAAGAATCCAAGTACGAATCTAAGCTTACTGCTGGATTGATTTGAAAATTTAAATATTTTTAGGAATATTTTATTTTGTGAAAATTTCAACATGAATCAGACTCATGCTGGGCCGGATTGGGCTCAGCCATATTTTTGTATGGAATCTACTGGGACAAAGCCGAGCCTCTCAAGAAAAACGTCGTCGTTCCTCACCCATTTACGATCTCTAAAAGCGACGTCGTTTGACTCGTCTTCCCTTTCGCCTCGCATTTTGTTCTTCGAACAAGACCATCTCGTCCCGCTCTCTCTTTCAGACTGCAGTGAGAGAGAAGGGAGTGAAATTGAAAAAGAATGAGACTTAATTTCGAGTTACCGGTGTCGAAGTCGGAGGAGAGCCGATCCCTGACGCCGAAAGAGGAAGTCCAGTGGGTCGCGCTCAAGGACCACCCAGTCTTCTGCCCCGATGCCTCATCTTCCTTTCCTCCTGTGGCCGCCAACAAAAATGGCATCCTCTCGCGCTTCCCCAGGAACCTAATTGCGTGGGACGGAGCGTCTAGACTCTACTTCTGGGACTCTGCTAGGAAGTGCCTCCACCGCATATCTCTTCGATTAGGTGAACCCGAGCCTACTTCGGTCCTCGCCGCCTTCCCTTCTAAGGTCCTCTCTTTCTCTCTCTCTCTCAATGTCTTCTCTTTGGTTCCGAGAAAGTGTAGGAAAAGGGAAGGAAATGGAAATAGGAAAAGATACTAAAATATTCAGTACAAGTTTGTTGATTTGCAGGAGATATATGTTCAGCTCTCAATACTCTTTAACAATAAAACACACCCACATATACTACAAACGCACACATATGTATAGATATGCTTTATGCCATGCCTATATTGTCATCGTATATGTATGCAGAGTTGTGTATATGCACCTATATATGCACTACCATGCTTATATAGTACACTGTTTGCTTTATGTTTATAGAGCTTGAAAGGAATAATTGCGATGGAAATTAATTTATAGGTAATGCAAGCAGATGTGGAGCTGGATTTCGCGGTGGAGAAAATCTCCATTAATAGAGATGGATCCGCCTTACTCCTTGCTGGTTCAAGTGGTTTATCTGTCATGTATCTCTATGGACGCACTTCCAGGAAGGACAACAACATTATTTGCAGGTAGTGATGGATATGGCAAAAATTTTATCTGGTCGTCTTAGTTTGTCTTGAGGTTGATTGCTTAGGGTGTGGAGCTCATTTTTCTTTGAAATAATAGTCTTGCTGCTGCCAAGTTCGGCTTGAAAATAGAGTTTCTTGTAGCTAATTTCATCGGTCTCTTATGAAGTTTTTGTCCAAAAGTTTAAGAAGATTGATCCCGTTTGAGAATGATTGATCCTGTTTTTCTTAGTTGATTAAATATTTACCTGCAGAAATGGTATGTTGATCGGTTAACGATATATGCTAACATAGCAGCATTTGTGGCATTCCTGCTTTCTTGGAAATTATTTTACAGTGGATATGCATTTTGCATTTAAAATTTACTATTCCAACATTTATTTGTTTACAGGACTGTTAAAGTTGGTGCACAATTCTATTTCGACAGCAGCAATATGATACGCATGCTACAAGTTTCATGGCATCCTTACAGCAATACCCATCTAGGAATTATTTCTTCTGATTCTGTTTTCAGGTAGGGGCATTTTTTTATGGAACTGTTTCAATTAGGTAGGTTATGGGAGCTGGTTAGCAATTTATATGGAAAGGAAAAAAAAGTTTGTCAAAGTAAGCACTGGAAGGTTAAGATCAGAACCTTTTGAGAAAATATATAAGATTTATTTTAAAAAGTATTTGCTGTCACCAGCTTCATCTGAAGCATCACGATCTTCATTGTTATAACTGGATTTGATAGAGGTACTCCTGTTGTATAAATATATGTTCTCTTTTGCTTCTCGATGCATATTCTGTATTAACTTGTTATGTCTATCCTTTTGGTAGACTTTTTGATCTATCTTCAGATCTTGTGCAACCAGAGCAAGAATATTTTCTTCAGCCTCTTGAACCGGGAAGATCTAGAAGTGCTGCATCAATCTGCCCTGTTGATTTTTGTTTTGGGGGATACCACTTGTGGGACAGGTTCAGTGTAAGTCCAGTTTATTTCGGGTTTATTACCTTTCTGTAGGCTGCCTTTTCCATTATAAAGACAAGGATGCTAATTAGATACTTGATGAAATCTTTATCAAATTTGGAACATCTACAGCTTTATATTTCTTCATCTGCAGTCTCATTGCTGTTCTGGTCTGTGCATTTATGAGAATTATGGTTCTGTATTCTTGCAAAATATATTTTACCAATGCCTAAAGCTCCAAAACTTCCTTGTTCTTAATTGCAATTGGTAGTTTCAGAACTTAAAATTACTTTATTATCATTTGGTGCTATTGTTCTCCATGGAACGTATAGATCGTTAGAGTCGGTAGTCCAACTTTAATTTCCTGTTGGATTGCCAATTTAAGTATTTTAGTGCTCTTTTGCTTTTACATTGATGGGGTTATTCATTATTGTGGTATTACTTTGGTAGTTCTCTTCTTTATTGTGATTCTAAATTCATTATCTTTGGGCATTAGGATTTTGTCCAGTCTTTTAGCAACCTTGTCATTTCTTGAGTATCCAGCTTTATGCTGTTTGCAGGTCTTTATATTATTCAGTGACGGTTCAATTTACATAATTTGCCCAGTGGTTCCATTTGGAAGGTATTCTCTTCATAATTCTTTTGGCTTCTTTCTTTTTTGGGATATTATGCTTTAACTTATAGAAAGTCAGATGATTGAAATTGGGACCATGAGGATGATTAGATTTGCTGATTCGTAATAATGCTGTAAAGTGGATCTTAAAGATTTTTACGTCATTCTTTTGATCCATTTGGGATTCAGTTAATTGTTAGATTGTAGTTCCTCAAAAAAAAAAAAAAAAAGATTGTTACATTAGTGGCCATCCTGTATATCTTAGTGCCATACACAAATTCAAGAGGCTGCCACCTTATGCTTCTTGCTGTCTCTGTTCCCAGTCATTTAAATATGACATTAACGGCTATAATTGATTGATAACTAAAGAGACATATTAGTTATCAGTTTGCTTTTTTGGATGCTGGCAATTGTTAGTATGATTCCGTATTAGATTAAAAAAATGTTCTGTAACAGTGCTTACAAATGGGAATCAATTCTGGAGATTTATAATGATGCTCAAGTGTTCGGGGTGAAATCAGCCAATTCAACAGCTGTTCGTAATTCTAATATTGCAATCTCTTGGTTGGAAGCGACATTTCCGGAGTTAGCTCAACGAGAAATGGATGATGGGAATCTACCTATGCTAAAAGCTCATCCTCATACCTTATTTGATGCATCACTGGCTCTGCAGGTGTTTATCTATACTTTTACTTAACCATACACTTGTTACAATTGTCTATATTGCATTCATGCTGTACTATATTTGAAATACCTGTGTCAAATTGAAGAGATTATAGATAGGAGTGAAGGATATATGTTGGATATGCCTCTTGTCAGGTAAATTATCTATAAACATGTTCACCAAAAGAAAACGATAAGTTTGTTGTCAGCTTGCTAAATGTTTCCTGAAACTTCTAGAAACTCGTAAATTGTTGTGAATGTGATCAGAATGGTCGAACTTCATATGGTGAGGTGCTACTGCATGAGATTTTTAACTATTTCTAGTTGTATTCTTTCAGAAATAGTGTCTGAAAGGACCTGACAGTTCGGTTAGCTTGATGTGATTAAATTTCTTAAATGCTAGTGCACATAGATGCAACCAAACTGTTTTATCGTGATTGAGGACAATGCGATCTTATCAAGAATCCCTTTACAGTTTTAAGGTTCAGAAAAAGAATGTAGGTTGTTTCCTTGTTACTTCATTTGCACCAAGTTTTCTGTAAGTAGGTTTTATTAGGTAAAACAATAACCACTCTTGTGTTTGTAAATTGAAATTATTTCTCCAACTTATTGCTACTTTTAATTCTGGATTTGAATTTTTTCTAGTGCTTTATTTTGGCAATCTGGTGTTGTGGACTGGTCCTTCAAAGCATGAAGAAACTAATTCACATCTTTGTTGCACTGCCTCTCTAGGGTCCTCTACGTAAAGTATGTATTAGCAAAGAGGATGAGGCTTTAGCAGTTCAGGGAGCAGAGTGTGAAGGTCATGCAGTCAGTCTTCTTTATAATTTGGTCAGCAAGGATTCAATTTTGGTGACTGCCTGGAGTGGTGGGCAATTGCAAATAGATGCCCTAGCTGATGAAATCCAGCCAGTATGGATATTCGGAAGTCCACCTCGTCTTCGTGTGGATGCGCATGGCCATATTCTTGGTCTTGCCATGATTTGTGAATCAATTTCGGGTGAACTTTCTGTTGTGAAACTTGATCAACCACTTGACCATACAGTCTGGTTGGGGCATCCACCACCATTGTTGAGACTGGCTATAGTGGATTTAGCCTTTCCTAAACAAACTGAAGGTGGTTCCACAATTACAATGTTTGTTGATTCGCTGATGCCAGAAAGAATTTATTTCCTTCATGATGGTGGAATTGATTCCATAGTATTGCATTTTCTCCCTTTTTCAAGCCAGACCAGTGGAAAGGATGAGAGTATCAAAGTTCCCACTGTGCATCCTGTTGTAAGTACATGCCAAGGAGAAGCCTCCTCATCACCTCTAGTCGGCTTCATTTCCTTGTCCGACTCATTTGGTTTCTCATGGATTGTGGGAGTCACCTGTACCAGAGAATTCATTGTGTTAGAGATGAAAATGTGGGATCTATTGGTTTCTGTTCATGTCGATTCAGAGAAGAAAGCTAACAGGGAGGAGCAGAAAGAGATTGATACCCCAGATATCATAAGCAAAGAACTCCTTAGTGGTCCAAAGGTGGTCCTTGTTCCTCAGGCTTCACCAAATCTACGTTCCGTTTCTGCTGATTCTATTGAAGGTCGATCAACTCTTCATCAGTACTTCAAGCTTTTCCATGAAAATTATGTTGAATATGCACATAAGGTGAGAATAGGTGCATACAGTTATGATTTACTTTCTGTGGGTTTGTTTGCACCACTATTTGTCTTTTTTCAGTTGTATCTCTTGTCCAGTAAGGGGACTATGTTTCTGATTGGTGTTTGTGGAACTGCCTGAATCTCAATTGGTTTTAAGTCTATGCGTTGCGTGATGTGACAATAAACAAAGGATTATTTGAAGCCAAAACATGTGGACTGTCGGGGAATTTTAAGAGCCCATCTAAGTCAGAGCAAAAAGTAATGTTCTCGTTAGTTGAGATAAGTACTGATCTATGTCATGGACACATGGCTTGTGATTTCTTAACTATTTGTATGACAACCTTGCTGTTCATATTTTCCAAATGTTTGCCAATAGTCTCATTTAAGTAAGATTATGTCCTGTAATCATTTTACTGGTGCTGAGCTCTTTAATTGAGCAATTTTCACTCTTTAATTGAGCAATGATTTATTTTAAAAAAAAAAAATTGAGCAATGGTTGTATGAGGTTCCTTCTTTTGTAGGTGTATTTTGAGCTCAAACATCATGGCCCTCATATAAAGAGAGTCATTGATGACCAACATGCCCGTTTGGCTGAGGCACAACAGAAGATGTTGAAAGTGGAGGAAAAGCAATCACTAATAAAGGAGAGAATTGACCACGCATTCCAGCAACACAATGTTTTGGAACAGCGCTTGCAACATCTTAGGAGCTTACCTGGGGCACATAAGAAACCATTGTCTAAAGCAGAGAAAGAATTGAAGTCTGGGCTTGGTAATCAACTTTTTCCCATTAATTCATTGTGAATATTTTTTTATTTGGATATTTTTCTGATTATGCAACTTTTTAAGCATGCACTGCTCTGTATGTAGCTTGACTTCATGATTTAGCATTATCCTTTGGTATGAGAAATTTCAAAACATTCCTAGTGCATTATCCTTTCTCCCTTATTCTAGCTGCCTCTAGTTAAATATTGAATAATGAATATTCATGAGATTGTGCTAAAATTCTGAACCATTTTGCCACTTTCTTTACTCTGTAATCTTGGTCCAGCTTACAGATTCCGGAACAATTTAGGTTTTGCACTATTCTTATTTACTATTAAGTGGTAGTTATCTTTGGCTTTGACAGATAGTAACTCAAACTATGAAATGATTTATTTGGTTGACCTGCAGATCGATTTACAGGAGTTGAGTTGGATGCAATGCGTTATTCTATTGAAGCTTTAAGAGCGAGACTGAGAAGACACACTCAATCTCCAAAAGGCACTGTAGGGAACCAGCAAAGGCAAATACCAAAGCAGAGTTACATCCAAGACAGTCGAATCACCCAGCTGAAGTCATCACTTGCTAAACTTTCTATTGTCAATAGTGAGAATTCAAAGAAGGTTAAGCTTCTGGAATCTGTCCTGAAAAACTGTGAAAGCAGCAAAATCTGAATGGATTTGTTTTCTTCTGTAACTTTGACTCATCGGACCGAGGTTCAGTAATAGAGTCAAGTTGAGAGATTCTTAGATTACTCTTATTTTTCTGATTTTGCACGTTAGATTAGCTGGTGATGGTCCAAGAAGGCCTTCCTTATTTGTAGATGGTTGACAAGGATGCACAAAGTGATGCATCCAGTGGCATATGGTTCAAATTCCTTGCGCCAATAACCTGCTGTTATGTTTGCGGGCAACTGATGTCTCAAATAGGTACTAGTGTTTGGATGAACGTGATAGGAAATGTATTCTTGCTGATATAAAGACTATATGAAAAATTACCTTGTATGTATAGGACTCCTAACATTGGCACAGAGAGATTGTTGTTCTATTGCTAGGCAAATGGCTTTTATATCACTTTTGTTTATGATAGATGAAGCCTGTAGGTTTTATATGGTAGCTGACTAAGACCATGTGATGGCGGTTTGGAAAGAAGTCAGAAACTAAGGTTTAAGTCTTTGGATCTTAATGTGCGACCCGTGCAATCCAAAAAGTCCACATTTTGGTTTTGTTACAGACTTGTCCTCAAGATTCAAGTCCTGAAAACTAAAGAACTCCCCAGTTTAGTATGCGGACCTGTTATGCACTTTTTAGAATCCTGAGTTTAATGATTATTCGGATTGTTGGAAGTTTAACATGCAGATGGAAAGCTGCATTCACATAAGTTCACTTGGTTTTTGCCTGTGACTGTCTTGGTATGAAATTTTAATAATTATGGGGTCTCTCCAATTAAATTGAGGTACCATGCTATCTTATTATTTCAGGTATTGAATCTCCAGTTTGTATATAGGATTGTTATATTACATTTCTTGTAAAATAGTTTATACTACCAGTGGATATTAATGATTATCCGGATTGTTCGTAGCAATTTGTACAAGATCAAGTTACTGCTATTTTTATTAATATTTTTGTTTTATGATTAGCAGTTTAGAGTATAGTGAGTCCTTTCTCACCAAATCTATATTTCTGGTGGGTCAGAATGATATTACTAGGTGATAGTAAATAAGTTTGTTCTTCCATAAGATGGAGAAAACTGGAATGTTGATTACCTTGCTCATACATATATAAACATGTGTGTGGAAGAATTTTGCCTTGGGATGAAATTGAACCAGAAGCTTCTACCAAACCTTTCCCATATCAAAGAAGAAAAGGAAAAAGAACAAGCACCATCATGAACTTGAGATTGAAGAAAACTGATTGGCTCACTACTTCGGCCCTAATCATTTGATACGGTATTGCTCAAAACATATGAAATAGGGTTAATTTACATCATGCTTCTGCTGATTAAAACTTATTTGAATTTCTCTCCTTTTTCTTAGATCTTACTCTTTACATTTTCTTAATACCTCAACACACGTCTCTCCGCCGAACAATGATCGGATACCGTTTCTGGGTTCTTGTCGTTGGGAAGAAAACCAACTTGTCTTCTTCTGCCGGAACCCAACTGTCAAATTTCACAACATAATAACATTTAGTCTAGTGGTTAAAGGAGTTATAGACGATCCCGTAGTAGAAGTATATACTTTTATAAAATTCACCTGAAGCATGTGACAAGATGGTGAAGGAAAACCGAGAGTTCTACCCTAGCTAGCTCGTACCCGGGACATAGCCGTGGCCCGCCTCCAAATGGAGTAAATACATTCCCGGGACTTGTTGTTCCGGAATTGTTCTGTTCGATTTTATTGCAGTAATGATCAAATAATTTGTAGGAGAAGGAACAAAATCTGATTGTTGAAATCAAGAGAAAGTTTTAAAGTGTTTTACCTGCCATCTCCATGGATTGAAAGTGCGAGCATCCTTGAAGTGATCGTGGTCTAAATGTACAGCTCTAAATGATGCAAAAACTTTCCATCCTTTGGGAATTGTGTATCCTAAATGGATTCAATATTATTGTACAAGTAAATATTTATTGACACTGATGGAATACCCAAAAAACGAAATTTCACTACTTTCATCCATCATACAAAAGAATTGAAAATGTAATTTTTACAAAATTATTATACAGAAAATGAGCAGACAAAACTTATATACCTTTTATATGAACGTCTGTCATTGCTCGTCTGAAAATACCACTGATTATGTTTGCCACACGCAAGGTCTCATTAACAACCTGAGAAATTAATTAGTAAAATTTTTTTAAAACAAAATATTCATCAGAAAACGTTAAAGCATGTATATATATATATATACTTACACATTGAGTGAATGGCATTGACTTGTAATCACTCCATTCAAGAGTCTCTGACTTACTCTTCCTTTCTCTTATCCCATCATGTTCCTCCTGCCACAACGTGTTTCATTATGAGAGCACGAAAAAACCCTAAATAATCTCCTAAGATTAAAAACCAAACCACCATTTACATAATTACATAAACTCGCTGATTTTAATTACTTTTTTTTTTTTTTTTTTTTTTTTTGAAAATATGAAAAATTTCGGAAGACAGACTCGTTTTTCTTTCTAACATAAAAATTAGGAAAATAATATAATTCGAGAGGCCCTCGAAATCAGCAAGACACGATTGCCAAAGCAGAGTCTGAAAGGAAACCAATGGGTTATGGGTGTGTTATTTGGACGACTCGTGTAGGAAAAAAGCTGACCGAAAAGACGAATATGCCCATTTTGATTCCTTCTTGTCGGATGAGGGTATTTCAGTCATTTCAATATTTGGTCAAACGCTAAGTGTCATCCGACTCTGTCACCTTGTCAGTACAGGGCGTGCGATAATTAAAAATAAAAAATAATAATAAAATAATTGAATTGTAAAAGAATAAATAATAAAAATAAAATTGAGAAGAGAAGGACTGTGCAGACTGGAGAAAGGTATAATGAAATGCTTGTCGTCTGGTTGGACGAATGTTTTTTCAAACTTTGACTTTTTTTACTCCTCCTCTCTCAAATAATAAATTTATTTCTTTTTTTTTTTTACAGACTGTTTTTCTACTTTTTGACTCAAAACTCACCCTTGTACACACCCTAAAATTTACTAAATTAAAAATCCATAAACTACAATTAAGTAAAACTGAAAGAGAATTTACCAATTGGGTGGCCTTTAAATTCTTTTTTTTTTTTTTTAATAAAAAAATTAGACAATTAGATCGAAAAAATTACTGAAATTGTGCAGAGGAAAGTGTTTAGAAATTATGAAAAAGAAAAACAAGAAAAAGGGCATGTGATGATGTTGTTTATATGTTTTCATTTTATGTATGTATGTATGTATGTATGTATGTATGCATGTCATTATCACATGTGTGGATGGATGGTTGAGAATCCAGATAATGAAAATGAGGTTTGTAAAGAACCCAACATGATATCATTATGGGAGTTTGGGTCCACCTCCATTTTCTAATTTATTTTTAATTCTAAATTTAAAATAATATTTCTAAAAAAAATACCTTTATAAAAAAAAAAAAAAAAAAAAAAACTTATGTTAACATGAGAATTTTATAAGACGGCGAAACAAAATTTAATTACTAAATCGTAACTTGTCAAAAATTAATTAAATGGGTTTTACTTTTAGTTTTTTTAAAAAATTCATATTTACGTAAATATTTCAAAAATGTAATAATTAAAGTGGAAATTGTGAATATATATATATATATATAATATACATGTAGATTTATGTATGATAATACAGAACCTTGAGTTGAGCCAGAGCGAGAGGAGTCTCAGTCAAGAACTTGACGGCGAGAGTCATGATAGTGGAGGTTGTTTCATAACCGGCGACGAGAAGAGCGACGAGAAAGTCAACGATTTGTTCGTCGGAAAAGTTGTCGTCGCCGGCCAAAAGAGCTCCCAACATGTCATCTTTTTTCTTCCCACCCTCTTCCACTTCCTTCCTCCGCTCCCTCACTATCAAGCTTAGTGCCTCCGCCACTTTCGTCCTTGCCTTCACAACATATATATATATATATAATAACTAAAATATCCAATTATAACTTTAAAAAATTCAAAAAAAAAGAAAAATAAAAGAGGTGTGTGTGTGTATATATATATATATATATATAGAGAAAGAGAGAGAGAACATACTTTAATGGCTTTTCTGTAAGTGGTGGAGAAGAGAGGGAAAGGAAGAGTAAAGAAGCCTTCAATTACAAGCACGTACTCTTTCCTCAAGCTCTCACTCCATTCCCCTGGATCAAAACTCATCAGCTGCTTCACTGTTAACTCGAACGTAATCTGCACCGTCCATCCATATCTCACCTCATCATTACACCACCCCACATACATACATACATATATAATTCTTAACTTAAAAAACCCAACATCAATCATCATGACCCAAATTAAAACTGGGTTTTCATCTGATCTTTTTTTTCAAAAAGATATTATCACTTGTGTAATCTGACTCACTCGCCAAACCCTCCACCATTAAAACAAAAAAAAAAAGGACGACGACGACAACTCTGAGTCTGTTATAACTCGAACGATCCCACCGATTTGACTCAGTGAAAAACTACTTTGGTTTTTCATCTTTTTTTCATCATAAACCTATATCATACTAGTAGGTGATTCTACTTGATACAGATATACCGATCATCTACCACAACAACAAAAAAAAAAGTCTAAATAAATATTCCCATGTTATCAAACAGTGGATTCTCTCTTTCTCTCTCTCTCTCTCTCTATACGTGTGAGTGTGTGTGTGTATATATTACCTTCTTGGCCTCCTCCATGAGGAGGACCCGGCCGGTCCAGGAGTCCAAGTTGAGCCGGACGAGCCGGTCGATGTCGAGCAACAGGTGGTCTTTAATAATGGACGAGTTGGCGAAACTCATGGTGAGTGAATGCATTCGTTTATGGAGGCTTCCTTTCATCAGCAGCAGTGAGTGTTTGCCCAGCAGGTTCGATATCGAACCGGGGTAGCTGCACTCGAAAAGCTTCCCTTCGTTCTGCAGAATGAACCGGTTCGTTTCCGGCTCGGCAGAAAAAACCGTCGGCTCTCCGAATACGTGGGTGGTGAAGATCGGCCCGAACCGCCTTACTCTTTCGTCGATAAACGGCTCCGGGTTCTCCGTCTTGTACGCTGATATCAGCTGCAACGTCTCGCCGATGAAGGGAAGACCCAGGCTCCCCGGCGGCAAAATATGCCGGCGACGGCGGGAGATGTTTCGGAGGACGAAGAATATGACGGTGGAAAGAGCGAGGAGAAGATAGAGGTAGACGGTGAAGGCCGCCATGAAAATGATGAATATTAATCAGTATCGATATGGGGTCAGTGATTGAGTACTAGTTTGTGCGAGTATATATACACATATGTGTAAATAATGGTGTATACGTATGTGGGTATTGTGTGCATAGGTGTATGTATAGGTCTGTGAATGGAGGATTTGAGAGAAGTGGAGGAGTTAAATGGAGGGGGGAACAGACGCACGGGCGGGTATCTGAAGTAATCTAGCCTGATGGAGGAGGAAATAAATGCTGGATTATTATAGTATCCTCAGTTTTTTAAAAAGTAAAAAAACAAAATCCTAATTTTAATTTCTTTTTATTTAGTGGATTATTTTCCTAATTTTTAAAAAACTTTAAATAAATTATTAGACAGAAATCCTACCACTCATTTGTTAACTTATCCATTTATTATTATTTTTTTATTACCTCATCAATAATTTTTAAATATTCAAATATACTCTTGTACTGTCTTTGAAAATTCTTCATGGAAAAAACAAAATTATTTGTTAATTTATTTTAATCCCACGTGATATAAATGTTCGTGAATTAAAAAATAATAATCATCTGTTATTTTTCTATTGAAATTAATTTTTTTTCCTCAAATTAATTAAATATATATATATAAGTGTTAGAGGAGATGTTAAAATAAATAATTTTAGTGATGTGTTTTACATTGTAAATGCAAAAAGAATGTCGAACCATGTTAGTATTAAATGATTTGTATTTGCAATGATAATTATTAAATATTTTATTGAATTAATCATTCTGTAATAAATAAACAAATTTATAAAATAGTTATTTATTCATAGTAAAGTAGGACCAATTTCCTAGCTATACATTTTTTTAGTGTCATTGTACATTAACACTGTGACTAAGCCAGCTTAGAGATTATTAATGGAGTGAATTAAAGAGTTTGTTGGTGTATTTAATTAATCATTTAATTTGGGGTAATTAATAGAAATTGAAAAATGGGTCCAATTTCTAAAATTGGAGCATTGAGAAATGTGTGAAATTAATTTTGATGTTGACTAGCTTGAATATATTGACCATCCCACATGGGACATTAATTAATTTTTATACTTAATTTTTTTTTTTCCCTCTAGCCCCATCAAAAGTACATGCAACCTTCCACTAAAAGGTAAAGATACATACAAAGAAAAGCATATATTAATATGTGTGTGTAAATATATATATATATATATAAATATAATCATAGTATAAACTTGCTTTTGATTTTCTTTTTTCCTTTTCCTTTCTTTAAGTTTTCTCATATATATAATCATCATACACACCTTTCTTTTTAATTTTTTAAGCTTTGTCACAAAGTATCTCGAGAATAAATTATTAAGCTTCCATTGAATAAAGAATAAATCATTTCCTAGGGGCTAAAAAAATTCACAAATGATCCAAATAAAAAAGTAATTTGGATTTTTTATTTTGTTTAATTAAACAAAAAATAAATTAATTATTTTCATCAAACCCTTTTTGAAATTAGGGTGAATAGATAAAATCTAAATAAATAATTGATTTTAAAAATAAATATAAACAGTCAAAACTATACATATAACCTATATATTAAAAGATAATTACAAGTAAAATCTTAAGATAATCAAAACGAAAAGGCTAAGAATATAATTACAAGTAACATGGAGAATTGCCCATTAAAAATCACATATATATTAACTGTAAATTATGATCATTATAGAAAATAATTGGTACTTTTAGGTCTTAAACCCATTAGGATGGGTAAAACTAATTACATACATATATATATATATATATAATAGTTATAAACGTTAAGAAAAATTAAGTTTCCACGTGTCAAAATATAAGCTTGGATAACATGAAAAAATTAGGGGTATTCATTTTATTTTATTTTATTTTATATGTATATATATATATGTATGTGGGTGTGATATAGATGTTGATGATGATATATGCCATGTTCGGCTCACATGGTCCCCATTAGGGACATTAAGCTCTCCACCCACTAGACAACCCATAGAATAATGATCCCCTAACAAGTAAACACCTCCCTTTTTTACATGTTAGCACAAGAAGCCTTTGATTAGAGAGGAATCCCATCATTTGTTTTCTTCACTATAATTTTTATTTCCAATTTTAATAGCATAAGCATGATATATGAACCCTAAATTTTCATCTTTAATTCTATCAATAATTAGCTTAATTAGTAAATTTACAAAGTATATAACTACAACATCAATGTAATTGCGTCTGCCAGTGTCAAAATTTACAAATTATTGTATTGAATTTATAATATCTATAACGTTTTGGATATAGATAATATAATCAGTAATCACTTTTCAAATCCATTAAATTTTTTGGACTCTAAACATTGTAAGTTGTAGGTTAATCAATAGTGATTCGTAATATATACTTGGAATAAGATATATAATTATTTAATTTCAATATTTTAATGTTCTTGTGAGGCTATATTAAATTTTACAAGGCATGTGATACGAGGTAGAGACATTGCGGCGATAGATGGTGCACATTAACAAAACTAAAATATTCCCTTACTAAGTCGTTACAAGGCCATTCATTTAGTAGCTATTACTAAACTATGTCATTAGTCTACAAGATACCGAGAGCAACAATTATCATGCAATATTAAGAGCCACTTACTTCGTATAAATAAATTTGTTTAGGTAAAGATGATTATTTCATAATCACAATGATTATTTTGATAAAATTCAAAATCATCAACTTGTTTATCCGTGCATAGTCATATAATAGTTTATAATTTTATTAGCTGTCTAATTAACTTTGTGATTGAAATTGATTTCATCATATCACAGTTAATGTAAAGATCGTATTAACATAGTAATATTATGCTAACATGTATCTTATAGTATAATTTACATATTATAAATGTTCAAGTTTAACAAATTATATGAATAAAAAATAATGAAATTATAGTAAAATATTAAAATTAAAAAGAAAATATTTTAAGACGAATCTCTAAATATATTCTTAATTTATTTGTGAGATTTTAAAATCATCGTTTATTAATGTTTTTGCATATTTTATTAATCATTTTTAATGATTTATTGTCTTAATCTCGTACAAAGTTCACATTATCATCATAATATTATTTTTATATTTAAATTACTAATTTATCAAAATTTAAACACAAATTATTGGTGATAATTAATACTTTTTAACAAATTTGATGGGATCACTCAAGAATTTTGAAAAAGTGATTCACTTGAATTTCACCTCATTTAAAAATACATAATTTTTTTTTCTTTCTAAAGAAGATATCGTATCCTTAAAAAGACATACATACATATATATATATGCATCAAGACATTCTATTGTCTCTCTTATCACAGCACACGTATTGAAATAATGTTTCTATTAATACAAGAATCTTGTCATCATCCAATCAGAAAAGGGTTTTAATCGGAGCACATAATTAATTAATTAATTAACAAACTAATTGATTAATTAATTTATTAATTAGATGGTAACTATAGGATGTCTCCCTGGCTATGTAGGTTAGCTGTTTTGAGACAAATTAGAATCCATGATTTTGACAGAATTCCACTTCGTATCATCAATTAAGGTTATGCATGCGAGATTATTAAACTTGTTCTTGAATGTTTATGAGAATCAAATCCCCATTTTCAAGGTTATTACATCCCTTCTAATCATATATTATATATTATATATATATAACAAAATGCTAACTAATCATAATATACATATTGGGGCCTTGGTTTATTGAAACTCGCATCGATGTGACATAACTAAATCTACATATATTCTATACATAATAATCAATACGTTAATCATATCTCCAAGCAAATCTAGGAGATCAACAATATATATATATATATATATATACATACATACATACATACACATATACACGTTTAAACTTTTTCTTCTCTCTTAAATTATTTTTCATGGATGTGATTTTTACTCTGTATAAATATATATATATATATAGATCTGAAAAATATATGATGACCCAAATGAAGATGTCAACAACCATGTGAATGATTTGTCTTCCTCCATTACCCATACTTATTCTACATTATTATTGAAAATTAAATTGGTCATTTCACTAGTAACCAAAATTTTGTACAATATAAATAATTGGATACATGCATTTGGTCTAATTTCAAAATCAATTTGTCCCAAATCTTATAACACCCTGCCCTTCAATATATTACTGGACCCTCGCCCCTAACCACCAATATGTTATATATATATACATATACGTACGTGTGTATGTATTGCCAATAATTGGTGCAATAAAATTGATCATGAAAATATTTATGAAAGTGGAGAGGATTAATTTTTTTTTTTTTTTACCTAACTCTCAAGAACAAGAAGAATATTGCTCTAGTGTCTACGTGGGACATTAGCAATTTTGTACCATACACGTACAAATATATGTTACATATATAAACAGCTTGTCATGCCTGCCGACACATTTTTTTTAATTAAAAAAATTGTTAACAAAAGTAAAACTATTTTTTTTTTTAAACTATGAATAGGTATAAGTAAATTATAAAATAAATAAAACAAAAGCTTAAGTTATTTATTTGTAAGAAATTAATTTGCTAATAGAAATTTAGTGGTGTATGCCTATAAGAAAGAATATAGATGTAGTGGTAAACACCACGATATTAAAAATATTAAGGTTATTTCTATAGTCTTAAGAATATATATGTATGTTTGTAATTACTTTGGATATTGCATATAGGAATTTGTCGTCATTGAGTTTAGCTTTGCATCCACTTGTGTATGAATGAGCTTACTTTTGAAAACTATACTTTTAGCAGTGTGCTTCGGTGATATAGTTCAGATAAAAACTAAGATCTATGGATCAATCTATATACTTATTTGATCTATAACTAATAGAAAGAAAAAGTTTAACGTGCGTTACTAAAACTCTTTCGAATTATGGAATTTGAGGGTAAAAAATTGTAGGATGTAGATATTTAGATTGAAATACTTGAACTTACAATATATTTGCGTGAATTAAGAATTGTCGTGTTGACTTAGTTACTAAAATAATATTCATTTCACGTGTTAGTTTTAAACTTAATTATTTATACATCTTTTGAATGCTAAGTTCACTCCAACTAAAAAGTGTGAAACTATGCATGTTTTAGGTTGTACTAGAGTCCCATAGTGAGGCAATCAATGAAAAACTAACTAGAGCTAGAAAAAAACTATATCGTCAAAAAATAAATAGGCA